GAGGAACACGAATATGAATAGTTTATTTACGTAACAATTATACAATAGAAAATATACATATTACATTGGCCCACAAATAGTCCTCAAAAGTTACCATTCACAATTCTCTTTGCCATACAACAGCCCCTAAATTTGAAATGACTGTATAACCGAGTTTGTAATAAAGTAAAAACTTTTAACTGAATTCAGTCAGTATTTGTAACTACATTATTTATTTGTTCAAACACAAATATTGCTACAAAAGGGCACCAAATACATATGCGCCGCACAAATCTCATTTGATTTGTGTCAGGGCTATGATACTGCCCGGGTGCCCAAACTGAAACAGGTGGTTGTCTTAGAGGGCCACACCTCAAGCCTTTGACCTAAAAAGGTCTAATCCATAAGGCAGTGGAGCATCGTGAGAAGATGCAATCCCATGATAGTCGGTGACCAACAATTGATTCATACGCCATTTGTTTCCTCAGGATAGTGGAGCCCATGTACACCATTGGTTTGGAATCAGGGTTTTCTAACTCCCCTAGGTGGACCCGCCGTGTCCACCAACCCGGTTAAAGCGCCGGACATTCGCTTTTCGTCCCCTCAATTAAGTAAATGATAGTAATGTCGTGAGAAGGCAGTGGGTAGGATTTCCCTGACAGAGGGAGAGCTGACTTTCTCCACTCTCGGTCGTATCAGGGCATTTAGAGGCAATTACATAAAAAGAAACTATTCAAATAATACAGGTGGAAAATAGTACAGATTGTTGTATCTGGAATAATTACTGATACTGTAAAATATAGATTATGAGAAATATATTTGAAGAAATGAAAAATTTTGCTTTAATTGCAGAAGTGTTTATTGTTTTTGTAATGTTGATTGCATGTAGAGTAGATGCACTTGTCCGATACATTCAAAGATCATTTAATACTCGCACAATACTGAAGGCTTTTACAATACTGAATCAGATATTTCCCTAGGAGCCCACTAATACACTGGATAACATGTACACAAATATATCAATGTAAGGTTACCTCAACTTCTTCATTGGTAATATTTGACACACAACTCCAAAACATCCCTTGTTATAGGCATATATATTTAATTGCTTATGTACAAAAAGGATCTTATTTTATGATAACGAAACAAACAATTAGTTCAACTAGTATTCATATAATTTAAACACTTCAATGTATTTATAGCATTTTACAGAAGCCTTACACTTTGAGACTGATTTCACTGAACATTCTTAAATCAATTCAACAAAAACAGATTAGACCAATCAAATGCTAACTGAGTATAGAGAAAGGTCAAACTTTATTTAAAGGGTTTAAAGTCTTACAACTTTATGTACTTTGATCCATAAAAAGATGAGAGATTATAAAAAATGGAATCCTGAATAGCTAAAGATAAGTTATTTTGAAAATTTCGCCTGTAGCTCCTACAGGGGCTACTGCCGGTCCCAAGCCGGGTAAAGGAGGAGGGTTGGGCATGGGGTTAGCGACCCCATCCCGTAGAAAACCAACTCGCTAAGAAAACGCAAACCAGAAAAAATTATTCAAACCACTAAGTAAGTTATTTTGAAGCTATCCATTAAAGAGGGCCTTATGTAAATTGATAATTTTATTTATCCGTTTGGGTGAAGGGAATCGAAGACCTGTGCACTAGAATATTAGTCATACATGGTGGTTGAAGCCGCAAATGGTGAATAAGGCTTCCACTTACAATCCGGAAGTCGAACAATGAAGCAATAGCAAAATGGATTAACTTAACAATAATCATAATTCGATTCTTCATAATTCAGAGTATTTTACAATTATTTTGTTGAAGATATTAAGAAAAGGCTGTTCATTTTAGTACATTTGGTTTCGATTACCTCGGTTATGTAATAACTTAAATGAAATTTCGTATATACATTCGTGTGTTCAACAATACTTTTGCTATAACGAAGATTTGTATGTATTGTGTGATCAGTCACGTGAATTAATATAACCGAATGACAACTGTTCACTGTAAACCGAACTAATAATGTAAAGCTCCAGGATGAGTAACTATCGAAAAGTCAGTCAGTCATTTGTAGTACAAAAAGAAAAAAAGATATGAAGCAATTTTAATCTCAAAGTTTGAGGGAAGACTAGGCTAACTAATTGTCGTGTTACGTAGTGTAAATTACATAATAACAAGTATTTTTATTACATATAGATTGTGACCAGCACTGGAATACAGAATGCATACCCTGTCCGATTTGTAACTAGTTAGCTCGATGTCATTAATCCGTAATGTTGATGTCCGCACTGAAATCGGGACCTCAATGTAATTAATGTTTATAAATAAAGAAATCATGATAAATTGCCGAGGACTCATATATTCCAGTACAGACTTGCCAACTACAGCCTATAGTATCAACGGTGGAAATATTTAGTAAACAGAAAACTTAGTGAACATAATAGATTTGAATAAAATCTATCTAAAAGAGTACATGAATGCAGGATTCGAATTTTGTGAATCATTCACCAGCCTACTAACTTGAGACCTATCCGACTTAAATTTTTCTTCACTATATGAAACTGACATTATGTGATAATTTGTTTATCTTAATAACTTGATGTGGTTCTTCATTATTTCTATATATATACACTTTTCTTCTTGTATTAGATGTGATTTATGACCATGAACATTCTCCACCTACCTATAAATTTCTTTATTGACAACTAACATTTCATCTTGTGAAACTAGTTTTTCGTTCAAACCTATTGATTTATAATTTACTATGGTTACTCATTTATACATAGATACTTCAGATATTGTTATGTAGATTTTGGCATACAACATTATTTTATGACTACGATATATCTATATTGAAAGAAATATCCGTTCGAATGCATAAATTATCGATTGACAGTATATAACTATTGTGAAAAATAAATATTAATGGGAAAAAATGAATCAATAGAATCACGAAAAAGTCTGATATAAACTACATTATATGTAGACCAGTGATTAACAAGATATCAGAACAGTCATGTTTTGATTTGGCCGCCCCTAACTCTGTTCCAACCATCGCCAATACTAGTCAGCGTTGCGCATTGTGGTAATCAGTGTTCAGGCATACGTAACACGTGGCCCAACCATCTCAGTCGATAAAGATTTAGAACCTCATCAACTGATTTACCATCATTCCTTAATACCCTGATGGTAAATCAGTTCTTTTCTTTTATAGAAATATATTTAATACCAGTTAAATGAGTATTCAAATTCAAGTGTAATTCAGTGACAAATTTTTGTTTCTTGTAACCAGCTTTGAGTCAAACTTTATACCTGAAATCTAGTGATACAACCCGAAATAGGTGGAACGCAATTCGCATTTGTGTCCCACCCAGAAGTTAAAGACCAATTGTTAAATCGACAGACCACGAAACAGAATAAAAGTTAAGGTATCTATGTATATTAACCAAATGATATAAGTTTTAATTAAAACGACCGACCCATTAAGCAAGAACACTAAATAAAAATTATTTCCACTTGAGATTTACCTTTATCTAACTAAAATTTCTTTCAGATGCATGTCCATCTAATTAGTTGGGGAAAAAATCATAATAGAAGTTTGGATTGCGTAACACATCCTCGAATTAATGAATATTCCGAAAATATGTAATTTATTTGGATGGCAAATCTAACAAAACAAAATGTAGTCACTGGGAGAAACAGTATTTTTAGGGTATAATATGATTTAGCTAATAACATGAACACATGCTAGATGTTTGGAAGTAGTTGACAAGAAACATAGGCTAGTTGGAACTCGTTAGTAAGATGTACATATAATTTTGAGGTACCCGATGTTTCCTATGGACTTCAAACAATCGTCATCAAAATACAGTTTGACAAATTGAAAACATGCACCATTACATTAACATGTCTAAAGTAATCAAGGATGTCGAGATTGAAATAACAAAATTGTATTCAGTTAACAGAACCAATATAATAGTTAAGTTCTATTTGAAAGAGTATACTCTACGCAGCATAAAAAACGCAGTTTCTCACTAAAATTATCTAAAGTTTTATTTTCAACAATATCACTTTTCACTGATTAGTTATGATTCATATCTACGTATCAGCAAGCTACGCACGTATTTTGCTTTTTAATAATGTGGTGTGGGTTACTAATATCCACATAAGTAGTATATGGTGATGGTCGGGCATTGAATGTATTTCAGTAGAAGATCGATAAAGAGAGAACGGGAACGGAACGCAATTAGTACGGAAATGCATGAACGATTATAATTGGAGATTATGGACGGATATTTGCAGAAGAAACAGTCAAATTGAGACAATTGATTGTTATTTTGCAAATTAACTGTTCACTATATGGTTCTTATATTTTAATGAGATATTCTGTAGTGTTGTGTTAAAATACATTAGGTTGCCTCCAGTCGTGTTTTCGTTCACTACAATAAGAGCGTAAGTAATAGACAGAAGTACTGAGAATTGTACTCACTCTTTACTAGATTATCAGATAGAAATCCCACTTGCATTACAAATAGCTGAAGTTGACACTTTTGAAATATCATTTTCGTTAGAAAATGAACGATAAAAAAAAGATGTATTTTAAGATACTTGTGAAAACAAACATATTAGTTGACTGACTATGAATAGAAAAAAAATATATATATATTACATAAATCACATCAAAAAGCAATATGTCATTGTCTCTTGAATAACTACAATTCGCAAATGTACATTAATCACAGTATTGACAGATTGTTTTGAAGTAACTTTTCATTCAACAAAGACATAACAAACCAATTGTTAAAAGAATTTAAATAAAGTAATTATTTTCTCATAAGAAAAAACATCACAAAGTACTAATATTGAATGATAGATGCAAATCAATGAAACAAAATCCACAACAACAACAACAACAACAAAGATACAGGATAACAAGGATGGGTAGTTAAGTGTAAATGCTTAATTAGAAAACAATCTATTTGACAGTGCTATTTTATTAGATAGGTTGACTATTCTCACGTTCGCACTTCATACTGGCCAGCTTTCGTTGCATATTTAACTCCTTTAAATGGTTTATATTTCTGAAGGGAGAAAAGAGATAGGAACATAAATAAAAATAATATTTCATAGAGAATTATGGGTCATTTGATACATATTTGTGAAAAAAAATTAACAATCATATTGGAGCTAGTCACTTGTTACAAAGACGAGACAGAGAATGGATGCATTTATGATTAAAAAAATGTTCCTAACTTTGGTGTTAGTTGGTCACCTCGAATTACAAAGCTTTTTCAAATTTAAAAAGCGGAATATACAAGTAGAGCACAACTGGGAACTTGGCAAAACACAAATATGCACAACTGAGTAAATAATCTAGAAAATCGGGAGTTATGTACTATGGCCCTGTCAATTATCACGCGAAAAAATCTCCAATCGAGATACCGACTTATATGATCTTATCCCTGTGTTAAACCAACGATGTTTCAACCACCACGAGGAGAAATGAATCAACTCTGAGTCCTTATTGGTTCTCTGTAGAGTAACCTCTAGCCTAATCCAGTCTGTTCAGTCCCGAACACAAATATCAACCTCCGCTACATGAACCGTATATTTCAGACATATTTGGTTTATATAAGCATACCAGTTCGCACCACACTATAAAATAAGAAATAGTAATTATACAAGATCAAGTCAAAAGCGGTTGTGAGTGAGAGATATTGTAACTGATAAATTGGGAATCAGTTAAGAAGTCGTATAACAGTAGCCAATAGGTCATATATATATATATATATATATATATATATATATATATATATATATATATATATATATATATATATATATACGGAGATACAGTATACTTTTAGAATTAAAAAATAGCTACTTATAAGTAGTTATTTATATTTATTATTTATTTGAACACATAATTGGTAAAAAGAGGCACCAGATACTTATGCACCATGCAATAACAATGAGAACGTGTAGAGATAAAGAATGTAAGGTGTGTATAAGAAAAAGAGGAACACTAACGAACAAAAATTAGTGTACGATAGTGAAATAATAATAATGGGAGAAGCAATTCAATTGGCACAGGTACAACCAGAAATAATTCTTCCAGTTGAAGAAGTTATTATTATTGTTTATTTATGTAAACACATAAACATTGGTACAAGGAAGCACCAAATAGATATGCGCCACATAAATCATTCGATTTGTGTGAGGGCTGAGATACTGTCCAGGTGCCCAAACTGAAACAGGTCGTTTTCGTAGGGAGCCATACCCGGAGCCTTTGACCTAGAGGCCTGATCCACAAGGCAGTGGAGCATCGTGAGGAAATCTAGTCCCATGGTAGCCGGTGAACGACGATCGTTCCCTCAGGATATTGGAGTTCATGTGCACCATTGGTTTGGAATCAGGGTTTTCTAACTCCCCTAGGTGGACTTTCCGTGTCCACCAACCCGGTTAAATCGCCGGACATTCGCTTTTCGTCCTCTCAATTAAGTAAACAACACCCCAGCCACTAAAAGACAGTAAGTAAGACTTCTCTGGTAGTGAATGTATGCACGTAGCCATGTGAGAGCATCTCTCGAGAGACAGCTGACTCTCCCCACTCTCGGCCGTACCAGGGCATTCGGGGGCAAAAGTAGTCTGATTACTCTCATTAAATTATACGGCCATCGTCCTACTCATTGCCGTCTCGCACCACGGGTGTTGTTTACGAAATTGAGAGGACGAAAAGCGAATGTCCGGCGCTTTAACCGGGTTGGTGGACAAGGCGAGTCCACCTAGGGGAGTTGGAAAACCCTGATTCCAAACCAATGGTGCACATGGGCTCCAGTATCCTGAAGGAACAAATGGCGTATGAACCAACCGTTGGTCACCGGCTACCATGGGACTGCATCTCCTCAAAGTGCTCCACTGCCATGTAGATCAGATCTTTCGGTCAAAGGCTCCGGGTGTGGGCCCCTAAGAAAACCACCTGCTTCAGTTTGGGCACCTGGACAGTATCACAGCCCTCAAGCAAATCGAATGAGATTTGTATGGCGCATATGTATTTGGTGTTTCCTTTTACCAATATTTATGTGTTTAAATAAATAAATAAATACGGCCATCGGCCATATACACGAAAAAACAAATATCTGTGAGAAACTATTTTAACTGATTATCTGTTCAAACGGAATCAAAGAGAAAATTGAAGTTGATTGCTAATGTGAGACGTAAATAAGTACTAATAAGTGAGTCAAGTACAATTTATATAGGAATAATCTTAAGAGCGAGTAAATACCTTTACTGTAATATTTTAGATAAAATAGGATAAAACATACCTCCCCATAAATGTCAACTCTAGCAATTTTCAACCCAGATACGATGAATTGTGGAATACAAAAGTTTACAAGGATTACAGGATTTGATGGTAATGTAGTGAGACCACTAACTAAATCGATCTACAAGGATTTTAAGAATAAAAAACACATGGTTGAAAAGGCTATACGATATCATCTAATTTAGAAAAAGTGATTAGCAGGAATCATTAATTTTAATATCACAAACTGACCATATTTAAACAACCGTTTAAAACCAAAAAGCACTGTAAAATGTCTTACTTCCAAGCGATGTACACGTGATCCTACCAAAAATTGAACACAGAACCTTTACGGTCTTGCAACCAGCACTTAACCTTTGGAACAATAATTTGGCATCCCCAACTTATACCAAAACATTAGTAACTTATCTGAACAAGTTTAGACTTGTAATTACAAAAATAAGACAACAAACTTAGTAATACGTTTTAGAGAAGAATTATGTGTTATTTTGTGTAGAAACGTCTTTTACTTATTAAAAACCGATAATAAATTTATTGTTCACTTGTTCAATTCGTTTAGTTGGGATGGGGAAGAATTTCGCATGATAGGGTGGGATTTATGGGAATTTATTAGTCACCATGATATCATCAATTGACCAAATGATTACTTTTCATTTTAATTACTATATTTTTGCAAGTTATTTAACAAAATTCAAATGTGAAATACAGAAAATTATGATGTATTTACTATGTTTAATTCAAGCTTTTGGTTTTTACAGTTCTTTCCATAAATCCATAAGATACAACATAAGTAACAACATATCTATTCAGAAAGGGTTTTGTGGAGTTTTCAATATTTTTATAGTTGAAATCATAAGCCAATTGAAGCTAGACCACCAAGGAAAACCTGGAACTGAAGACGATTGGTGAACGGTTGCTCAACTTCGTGGATTGGTTGAAGTTAGACATTAAAAATATCGGATGCCAGCTCAGTGGTCTATCGATTAAGTGCTCTGACGCGAGACTGGTAGGTCATGGGTTCGAATCTCACGAGGCGGGATCGTGGATGAGCACTGCCGAGGAGTCTCACGATAGGACGAAACAGCCGTCCAGTGCTTCCAGGTTTTCCTTGGTGGTCTAGCTTCAATTGACTCATGATTTCGACTATGAAAACATATCTATTGTCCAACCTGCATAAACAATACCAATCTTTACGCAATATGTCACGTGAATTTACGGTTAAAGTAATTATTAATGGTACAAAAAACAACATTTATTCATTGAGTAACTATGACATTTTAAACTAATTTAACTGGATAAAAATCAACGCAAGGTTTAAACTTCCATACTTGATCAAACTATTCAAAGATAGTAGTCATAGTGGATAACGAATTTTTAAATATATGCACTTTTAGCTTAAACTAGATAAATGAAAACATTAGGAAATAAGATGAAAACAGATTGTAAATAAAACTTACACTACTTTTCATTGAAGGATTTGGAGATTTTGTTTCAATCCGACCAATATCCCATTGAAACAGTTTTGTTGTTACATCAAAACTAGTTCGTCCAACACTTGGAGATGCTGTGATATTTAAAACTTCTGGTGGTAATTGAATGGTAAGTTTTACATTTTCAACCTATAAGGGATGAGGAATCAGCATGGATAATATATAATTCGAACATAAAGTAAGTCAGTGGTCTTGAGTGCTGTTAGAGGTATGAGGGCAGTTATCACTTCCCGGTTGCCCACACCCTGGAAGAGTTCTTCTAAAAGTACCTGAAAAGGAAATTGGGTTAGAAGTGGTCTTAATGACCTGAGAGCGTGACCGCAGTGCCCAAGAGACAACTGTTTGAGGTCGGTCACATAAGACCTTGTTGTGGGTAGTTTTTGTGTTAGCTCCGTACTTGTTGGAACCTTACTGCCAGAGACGGAAATCCGTAAGATAAGGCGAGGTGTGCATTTTTAGGGTCGATCTATTCCAACCCCACCCCTCCTTGTGGGAAGGCGGCATCACTGTCATGCTGGTTGTTTGAAGGAAACACCTTACTGCTGTCACACCTCTGTACAATCGGCAGTACGACTTCGCCTTTGGACCTTGGGTTTGCTGCTTTTAGTCTTACCGCTCTTCAACCGACCTGTCTGGCATGGTAGGACCTTGAGGAACGATTGTTCCAGCCAGTATAGTTCGATTGAATCATCACGATAGGCAAGCCCGACCACCATGTTAAGGTAGCAGCAACGGTAAAGTGGAGTAAATACTCTTGTATAATCCATTTTTTGTTCCGAAAACTGGCTGAAAATTGTTTTAAATTATTTAGTCAACAGTTTAAGCATACATTAGTTCTAATCTAATCAGCTTTTAACACACGATAAAGCTTACAACATTGATTAGCGTTGAAATTATAATACAGTCAAAAAGGTCATCTATATCATCATCATCAAGTACAATGGAATATAACTTTGCTTTAATGTTTTTATCAGATTTGTGAAAGGAAATAAATTACTATTCCGGAGACGATACTTCCGGTGATCCAGTTACTTTAAATCACTTAACATTAAAAAATAGTGCACACAATGTCGAGTCATTTAGGCTACTAACAATATCAGAACTTAATCAGCACAAAAGATTGGATAAATATAAAAATAATTACTACCAAATGATCAGTTGGAATAGATTTCTGAGTGCGTAAGTGTATATAAAGAATAATTTTGTTATGTCCCGATAACAATAGTGAATGGTAACTTTGGGATCTGTTTATGAACCAATATTATGTATATAATTTCTATCTTATATTTTCTAAATAACTAAAGTATTCATATTCATGTTCCCCGTATTATGAGCTTTATTTTGAACTATATACTATTGCTGTACGATTTACCATTCTTGAGTTATCCCTAGTCTATTAATTACTGCCTCCCATATTCACAGTCACATTTGGTATATAGACCCAGTATGTTTGAGAATAATTATTTATATTGCAGAGGCCTTTATTGGTGTTCTGGACTTAACTGGTTGGGCTAGGCAGAAGTAAGACCGAAACGTACTCTAGACTGCTCATACGGTTTTTCGTTTGTCACTGTTCTGGTCGATAATTCGCTGCTCTCGGATTGGCGGTCTCATCACGCCATACATCATACATTAAATGGGCATCCACTCGGTCACAAGTTATTACAGATTTGTGTAATATTTTTCAAAATAGAAAGACAATTAACACGTCTAATTACTAAAATATGATTAAAGATTATCACTATTTACACAAAGTTACACGAAGATTTTTACTTACAGGTTTACCCATTGTTTTTGGTACTACTACTACATCTAGACGACCTCCACGTTCACGGAGAAGAACATTATGTCTTAGTATGATAGGAAGTGATATAGGGCTATTATTGATTTGTAAATAAAAAAAGACATTTTATGTTAAACTGTATTGAGAAATCTGTGAACGAAATTAACATTCTTACACAATAATAATAATAATTATTATTATTATCTTTTATGAACAACTGACTGATTGACCAAGTTATTTTCCTTTATACCAATAAATACTTCGACGTAATTATTTCAAGTGAAGTACAGATAAATGATTTGTGAAACGTGACAAAGAGGTCAGATATAGTTTCCAGATGATTGATTTATAAGTAACTTTAAGTTGGAATCAACAAGATAATCAAGAATGGAAGTCTCACAATAAACAATCAGATTCATTTCTGTTAGCGAATGAACTATATGCTCTTTATTATTTTTAATTCCGTTTTTATGATATCAGGAAGACAGGAAACCTGAATATATTGAGTATCAGTGGAAAACGCCTTATCCCTATTATAAAACAATATAATACAACTTAGCTAATGAACATGCAATCTTTCCAATAATCTTCGTCATTTAATTCAACAGCCGACCAACATGGGCTTGCATTATTATACATAAAAAAACCTTGGGGACAGTGAGATATCAAGGGATACACCATATAATACATTGCAGTGTTGTGTAGGAATAGAAGAAAAATCAGATGATCAATAGTCAAATAGGAAAGAACTGTGAACACTAAACAGTATAGTCGAGATAATTTATAAACATAAAAGATGCATTAAACAACCGTTTCTAAAATACAAAGCCCTTTAGTATATATCAATAAGTAATTCCAGACGTCGTTCGATGCAGCTTTTATGTGGGTGCGAAAATCTGAACATAATCTGAAGTGATCAAAAGCAAGACAAGATACAGATTTACAAAGGACTCCTTATTACATTTTACTCACCTTAATGAGCTTACATGATAATTAAACAAACAAAACTTTCCATCAGGAGGTATAAACGATAGAATTCTTTCTCTCTTCCAACGTGAAAAGCGAATACAAGGATGAAGGTTGGCATCATCAATCAGCCGATGGTTTGTGAAAGCCAATGTTATATCTGGAGTTCCAGATAATTTAATTAGACATTCGACCTATTAGCGAGTGATGAAAAATGTGATTAAGTATTTGTCTGAATACTACTTACATCAAGTATTCATCTTGTGTACGATAACTGAATGAGATAGCTCAGGCACATTTTAAACAAACAACATATGAAGGTATATATTAAGAAGGTATACTAATTGCAGAGATACGCCCAAGATTAGTCAAACCAAATGTATAGACTTCCCAAAGTACAATAAAAAAGAAGGTAGGGAAAATAATAAAACTATTCAAATATAATCCCCCAAATATTCATTCGGATTACAACTATTCAGCTCAAATGAGGACCACAGATATTCTTCTTTTAACATAATTGCAGTGACAACATAATGAAGCGATAAAGAAGAATACGAGCATCAACATATATGGTTAAAATTATCTAGAAAGAACGATTCCCAACACACTTTTCGACAGGTAATTTAGATTTAATGAGTCCTATTGGGATTGCGATGGTATCACCACTGAGTCGTTTTTTTTACATATTTTCATAGCCACTCTAGAGAATACTGTTCTTCGACCAATATAAGATATATGAATTATATTCTGATAGTTTATATCGCGAAGAGTGAACTACATGATGCCCTAGAGAAGTTCAATAATTCTCACCTGTCAGTTACATTCACAAGGGAATCACAGGCAAGCTCAGAGTTTATTGCTGTGCTTAACAGAAAAGAAGACTAGACTATGTATGTTTTTACTGGCCTCTTTCTAATTATGTAACCGATTATTAACACTTGATATTTTCGATCAGATTATTGTTTACTCAAGACCTATCTATTTGTTTGTAAATCAATTCATCGAATAACTAAAATTACAGCTATATCGCTTTAGTAAATGCTGATATCAAGGAGAAAATCTGTTCATTGAGCTATCCTGTTAATGCTGATTATTGTTCTTGAGCATTCAACAACAAAGATTAAACTACAGAACATATAAAGACCTACTGATCCGTGAACCTCCTTGGATATTACATAACCAGAACGATCGACAATCGCGTCTATCTTTTCAATCAGGTCGAAATACGTTTCGTTGTTAGTGTAGTTCACGCCAGAACGTCTCCAACGTATATTCGATAACTGGTTTGTAGGGAGTGTAGACCCAATAATCGTGTTTTTTCCAGTAACCGCATCTGTAAGTGATTGAAGGAAGTTGGGAGGACGCACAATTTCTTTTAAAATATTAGGTTCGGTGGCCAATGGGAAACCACCATCAAGCATTTCATCTAAAATCTAGCAGTGTGAATTATTTTAACAAGGAATATCTAACCTCGTATATTGAAACTACATTTTCTTTGATTGATGTTTCAGTAGCAGAGCCAAAATAATCTTCGATTATTGAATGTACGCAATCTAAAAACTCAATTACGAGTAAGGGAGGTACTAAGATAGTATGGATTAATAAATAGCGAGCACATACGCTCATTAGCACACACAGCTAGAAAATATAAATTGTTGCGCAAAATATGAATGAGTGAATTGCTTGGAGTTTCTAGAACAGGTGGCACATCACCAGCTGCATATTTTGTGACGGCATCAAAAAATGTATCGTTAACTGTCTTCGAAATGTTTTTTGTCCAGTGTTTTTCTAAACATATTTCACTATAAATGGATAAATCAGTAATTCGATAATTACTTCGAACGATTTATAATGAACAAACTTTGTAACATATTAATACTTTCATTAAAAAGTATTGTAGCTCCTAGTCACTGGATCTAACATAACTACTGAAATGAAAAAAAAGATGAATCAGGATAGTTTGATCCAACATATAAAAAAAGAAACTGTCAGTTAATACGCTTACGAAGTCATATTTTACTTTGCTCTCAATTACTAAGTACAGATTGACAAGTTCAATTAAGGGTTTAATTAATTTTATATGGGCACTATTCTGAGCCCTTAAAAGTGTAGATAAGGGTTAAAACCTAGTACACAAGCATGTGTTATTATTAACTTTCACTTGTCAAATAAACTTTAAGGGATCATCGCACTAGGAAAAAGATTCGGTAAAAAACAAACGACTAATGATTGTGTTCCAGTATAATTTACTTATTCCCTTTGGAAATAGCTTGTCCTCAGTTTACAAGCAACTTAAAATACAAGATTTGGACTAGGTTTGAAGGTTCATTGAAGGCGAATAGTGTAGCTATAGACAACAATTTTAAATGATAAGACTTTGCATTGTTTATTCACACCAATTAGTCTATTTCACCAAAGTTTTTTTGCACAATCATTCTTTGCAAAAACTTTACTATTCTATAGACTAAAATTAACCAGTTACTTGCATCTAAGGAAGGAACTCAGGATTAACATTGGAATAAAACTGATTAACACATAATCTCTATGGTCTGATGCTTTACAGAGTCACTAGCACAAGGATGATATTGCCTTACTGTGCAGTGATATGTAAGTTAGTCAAATCGTAGATAACCAGTTAGTAAATAATATCACTAATTGCGACAATCATTTGTTAGATTCCGAATGAAAGTACTTGAAGACTGAAAGTAGTCTCTGCCCATACTAACACTAGTAAATCGCTGAAGATAGTCGGGAAGTTCGTGTATTTGAGTAGCTATGAGGGCTGGTTCTAGATTGATATGTGAGACCAAATATGACCTATGCTATGAGTCAGCTTCGGAGATGTCATGAAACTAGTTCATTGACGAAAGATTGGGTATACAACTAATTGATGAGACGACTCCTACTCTATGTTTGTGAAACTTCACACTTTTGATATGAGGATGTTCGGTGACTCTTTTCGCAGGGCTGCTTACACATGATGGCAACATCTTATGACTGATACAGAGGTCCCGCAATAAAGTTGGGTGTAGCCACGAATATACGATTGGTGTCATCGACTTGGAACACAGGCCTCAATGGCTTCGACTTATAAACTGTTGAGGCACTCAGTTTGTAAAAGGGTCGTAAGGTAGGAAACAACCATATAATACTTCCATGTATTGATCTGGTTGGACATTATTGATGGTGAGTTTTTTAGACTAAAAATACTGTTAGTCCTCAAAAATTACGATTTTCGACAGGAGTACGAAGGTATTCAAATGATTTATTGGACACCTAAAAGTAATGTGAGCATTAAAAATCAAGCGGAAATTTTCTCTACGTCTGAAACGAATTAATCCCAGGGCGACACACCTAATATTTTTATTCCTGATGGTCGTTTTAATTAAACTGTATTTGTTATTTACTTATTTAAAATAATAGGACGTTAACTACTGAGTTCTTTAGCAAATCAGCTGATAATAATGGAAAGACTATACTGAAAGAGGATTTTTAGAAAACCATTCTGGTTAGAGCTGTTGACTTAGATTTTGAGCAAAATTCACAACTCAGTGAATGGTAATTAATGTTGTCATAAGGACTGGCTGAAAAACTGTCTGAATTTAGTTACCGATGTGCTTAATACTCATTAATGAGTGTTACTATCAATTGATTGTACATCATGTGGTCTGAGAGCTAGCCAACAGTAAGCGTGGGCAGAAATTTAATTATATAGCTGACATAGTATGTCAAATTGGCAGTCTTACGTTAATGACGAGGAAAATCGCCTAGTTATAGATAGTTAATGTACAGCCCAATCTCCCTATTTTCCCAAACAACCAATAAACGGAAATTAAAGCGGACAAATGCGCAAACAAAGGGGGAATGTCAGTTTTTTCCTCTTCTGTCGTGAATTTTGGGGAAATTTGTGGACAATCATACGTAACGTACTGTATTTGAATAAGCCGCATTCCTCACTTACATTTTCCAAAGCATCTCCAAAATAAATTACGGTCAAATATAATTGACGAATATTATCGTCATTATAGTCAATGAAATACGGACATAGGCATTTTCCTTTGATGCATATATACTTACTTCCCCGATTGGGAAAGAGTTGTATTCTATCTCAACACAAAACTCAGTATGTATCAAAAAACCCCATCAGCTAACATTCATGTTTTGTTGGATATCCTGTAGTAGTAACTTACGCAGCGGACAACTTCCATGAACCCAGTTATAGAGATAAAATAAATTCCTGAAATTTAGTTTAGTAACGCACATTTTCAAAAACTTTGGTGTGGACCTTTGTTAATATCGACCACACTGTCCAATCATATCGTTGTCTACTCTGACTCGTCCCTTCCTAAGAATCACCAATATATGATGAAGAACACACATTATATTAAATGTGGATAAAAGAGATAAGTTACACAAGAATAACCACGCTTGCAAGGTTGAGTCATGCTATCCCACTTATTAGTTTGAACTGCTTCTTCACTCTATTCCATCGTCAACCTTCTCTTCGTGTCAGTTGTTGAATATAAGTCTTTTCAGCAATTATACACTTGGCTTCAAAAGTCGTTTGGTTAGGGTCCGATGCCACTTCACCATTCTCCCACCTACAATCAACATGACTTTGGTTCGATACCAAAGTGAGTGGGATTTTCGCGCACCGGAGGTTACCAAGAATAACAATAACCCTCTGGGTATTTATAAGCTAATAGATATATCAAAAACAAGGTGGCAGCAACTGATCGAGAACTACATGTAATAGTTTAAAAATGTTTGGGTTTATTCCTAACATGTGAAAAATGGAAATCTACATGTAGATTAGATAGGAGCTGAACAAAGTGGCGTTATAATAATTAGGAATGATTTCGTGTAAAGATATCTTAATAGGTCGCAGTAAGATGCGTAGTAATAGTCATTGGTTAATAACTTAACTTACAGGTAGTACCAGTACCAGTGTTTAAAATTATTAAAAACGATCAACATTGTATAAACGTTGATATTGGTATTACTTTTGGTTGCCGAGTAAATAAATCTTTACAAGATGATAAACAGTGAGCGGTGCTCACGTGATTATCAGGAAAAAAATAAGTTGTAAACAAAGGGAGTACACTCCCAACTCATGTCTATGATAATGGTATGAACCTTAGTTATTGTTGAGGTATATTCGACAATGATGTTTCCAGTTTTCAGGAGATTTGCTCGACTGCTTCTACTGATGATTTGCATGTATGATTGTGTCGCTAAATCTCCAATTAAACTGAAAAGGATTTCAGATATTTACTGAATGAGAAACCTTTAGAGAAACCTACAGTAATCATCTGTTGTAGATGAAGATAACGAGAAAACAACACTATTTAGTTTGCGTACCACAAACAGTTGTTCTTAAATCTTTTGGGTCTGTGAAATTTGACTGAGTCCTAGCCAAATCATACGATAGTTGGATCACTGAATATCGATCAGTCGACTGATCCCCGTCAAGTTCAAGGACAACCAACTCGCATCAGTCGATCTTATGCCATGGACTGACCCATGAGCTGGTGGTCTCATCATCTTTTCTGCATTCATTCCTACTAATATGTTGTCGTAATAACGTCTTTTGTGTAATGCAGTCTTCAAAGCAACCGTAGTAACTTGATGCGTCGAAGGGGTAATTCATGTTAAGTGCAGACTGCGAGGTGAAACTTCTAAGTTAGTTGGTGATCACACCATTTTCGTCTAACTTGAGTAAGCCTCCAATTATTCGACGTATACCATCTGGGTCGGTGATTTACACTACAATATAGAATTATACTCATACTCTCTATTGATTTCTATAACTAATGACTGTTAGATTTCAAATGGTTTATTATAAGACTTATGTCTGGCCTAATACTTGTAATTCACAGTTCTTTTAAACATGGAGTATCGATCTGGTTTCTCCTGAATGTAATCATATTCCAGTGATTGCTCCCTCTTGAGAAATCATAAATTATCTGTACTGCTAATTACTGAAAGTTATTCATGATAATAGCCCTGAAGTATCAGTAGTGTCAGCATATCTTATCGTAGTTGATCAGGAGTGAGGCCGAACCAATCTGTCCAACAATGTTACATTGCTGATTACATGACATTACTATGTATTATTATGTACTATGTATTCTAAAATAACTTTATTCTAAATCGCTCTTTATTATTGAACTTCTTTTTACGCTCAAATGACCAGTGTGTCAAATCTTATCAAATGCGTATCGGCTGTGAATCTGGAAACTTGAATTTATTCCTACGTTGGACTTACCAACCAGATTATCGCATCTCCTTTCGGCTTGCCTTTGAGCTTAACATTGCCCGGAGAATTCTTATCGTTCGCCAGGTAACGTTCGAGGCACTATGACGCTATGTGATTTGAGAGTGAATTAGCGTTGGATGGTTTCTATCAAGAGTAAAAATGATGAAAGTGATAGAACATTGGACCCTAACTTTCCATTCAAAATTGTTCCGCCTTAGATCTACTACTGCAAGTTGAATGGTCGAGGGTCAAGAAAGCAAAACGCGAAAACACTATCTAGACTACATAACTCAGCCAAAGATCAGTGGTAATTACACGTGCTTGTCGTTTTTGTATGAAATATATTTTACCGTTAAAATTGCGTCCGTTCATCAACTGTTCATAAATGGTAGAAAACCCTAATAGCCACGATAGGGAAGACGAAAATTAGACTTCAACGTTAGCGTGGAACTCTCCATTTACAAGATTGGCTGATTCTTAAGACAAGAGCAGAACAGTGAAATCAACTCGTGATACTATGATGATTGAAAATATTCAAATTATTGTACCAACTAGAAATTCCCGAAATAGTGCAGTTTACAGCAAGTAGAACTAGATAAACCGAAATGAACA